TGTTTTGCTCTTCCTACGAGTTTCTGGGCGACGATTCCACAGAAAAATAGCTCATGTTGATCCACGGCCAGTCGTTTCATGGCTATTTGTATATGATTAATGAAAGTTTCGACATTTGAACCGTCGAAATCGGGTATCAATGGCATCGCTTTATTATAATTCTTTATAGGTGCTTCGACAGTTTCTGATTCGAAAGTTTCTGGTGTTATTTCGCTCGGTTGTTGAAGTCGCGTTGGATTCTGATGTTCAACCGTTATTGATTCCATTTTGTTTTTTAGTTCAGTTATTGCGTCCATCATTTGGATCATTCTGTCTGCTAATATTGCTAGAGTGAGCGTTTGCTCACGAGTAGGGCTCTGTGCACGCGACATTGGAGCAGTAACGAAGAGTCTCGATTCTAGTATGTTACTGTCCGCACTTGACTCGGTGGATGTATCAGAGTTGATAATGTCGCTTACCCCTCTGTAGTTTATCCACGCCATCTGCTTGAGTTCGATAGAGCAGGATAATCTTCGAGTCCTCCTTGAAGGTAACTAGTGCGACTAGTATATCGTCCTCGAAGTAAAAGCAAAACTTCACTGTTTTTCTTGCTAATTATCCCGCACCGCTGCCACTATTTGTAAGATTTGTGATAACAATTTCAAAAATAAAAAATTTATTTTTATTGTATTCCCTTTTTTTTATACAATTGTCACTTGGAAAGAATTTTTAGAGACGTAACTGCAATATATCGAAGACTGCCTCTGCAGTCTGAGGGTTTTCTTTTATAAGGCTCGAAAATGAGTCTAAATTCCAATAGAATCTAATCTTATCCTAAAGTCTTACTTTTATTCTTATTTTAGAGGCAAATTCCTAAGGTAGGTTGGTGGACGATGGTCACACAATTACGTAACATTAAAATTATTTAGATTATAGCCATATAACATTTCAGCATGTAACTATTCTGTATCTTTTTTGTAACTATGCAACAGTTATACGTTTATTATATTGTTATATTTATTTTATATAACTGTAATTTACAATGTGGGAAATTACAACTAACATGTACGTTACTCAATACATTATATTACCCGTTACATTCTGTTTTATTACAGCAATATAACTAACTTACAGTTATATAACTACGTTTGATATATATTTGAATATCTTATTTACTTAAATTAAAAACCTTAAAATAATAAGTCTCTTAATATTCAAAATACGACAACATAATATAAAAGGCTAATAAGAGTCAGAAAACGTAAAAACGTAAAAAAAAATATCTCCATTATTATATATCTCTCCGTATTACATATCTTCGTTTAACATAAGTATAATTGAAAATAGATATAACAAACAAGAAAATAAGAAAATTAAAAATAAAAAAAAACGATACAGAATAATAGTACTAAGTACAATTACATGTTTCGATTTTATATTTAGGACCCTCTTCAGATATACAAAAATTCTAGCGCAATAAAAATTATTATTCAAAGATTAAGAAAGGTTATTTACTTAAATGTAATTGCTGTACAATTAATGCATATTTGATTTTTTTATAGGTTACAATGAATAATTTTTATATATACATTAGCATGTATATTTTAATCGAGGAAAAGGAATTATGTGAAACTATTAGAAATTGGATAGGAACAAAAACATTAAAAGCTAGTTTTATAAGCAATATAGGCGGCTCCATTATCTACTTAATAATTTTTATGCAATTTATAATATAAATTTAATATTACGAATGGAACATTCAAATTTTTTATAATTATAATATTCATTGAAAGAGTATTTTTAATAAATATGTTGTTTTCTTGAGAATTAATTGTAAGTAGTACATCTATAACTGTTTAAAAAGTATTATGTATTCTAAATTTGCGCAAAATTTTGTATAAAAAATTTTATATATAAAATGTCTAAAGGTTTAATACTTACAATAAAATAAGATTCTTTATATTAAAACAATTAACAAATTACAAATGGGCTTTTAGGAATTGGCGCTGTAATAATTGTGCATTTATTTCGATTGATTTAAAATAGTCCTCTATAAATAACATATTTGTCGAATGTTTTGGCTAACTTCTAGCCTTCATCAGCGAATGTATTACACGAAATCCATAGAAATCTTTATCTTGTTGATACACTCCAACATCAAATTTTCCATAACCAGTTAATAAGCTGGATGATTAATAATATTTTGACCTTAAATATAATAAATGAATATTAGAATCGAAAAATATTAAAAAACTTACAGGAATTACTGTGGAGACTCACTTCAGGAGTACGTATCAAATACAAATTAATCCTTACATCATAATTGTTGTAACGCAAATTCTTTTTCTCATGAATTAAAATTTAAGACGAAACAATGATAATTAAATAAATATAAAATATATTGTATGAATCGATGATATTCATGCTGCGGTATCAATCATCGTAATGAAAATGAATTATTTTTAGCTATAAACTTTTAGTGATCGGTCAAACAACAAAAATATAAAAAACTAAGTAATTCAATGTCTTTGTTTAAATTAACACTGTTCTTTTGTTGCTCGATGTTTATCATTTTTGATATTAGTTTTTTATTGTATGTTTGTTTTTTATTTTTATGTTTTTTAATGTAATTTTATGTTTAATTTGAACGTTATTCCAATCAAAATAATGATTGTAACGTGTCTTATGATTCGTGATAGTGAAAGGATTGATTTTATTTTTATTGATGTCATTTTTGTGTTCGGAAATCCTCGTTTTTAATTGTCTACATGTTTTTCCAACATAAGATGCGTCACAATCATTACAAGAAATTTTATACACAATGTTTTTTTTTGCAATCTGCAGGAAGAGGATCTTTTTATGTTTTTATCATTGAATTGAATTTGTTAAAGCTGACAACGAGAATTTAGTATTGGTATCTTTGATGATATTTCTAAATTTTTCTGAAATAGATTGTACATATGGAATTGTGAACCAACTCATTTTTTCTTTATTGTCCTTATTTGAGGAATCTTGATTATTAGTGTGTTTTTAATTGAATTTTTTTATTTATTAAAACTTTAATTCTCTCTCTTATTACATCAAAAATGAAATTTAATGGATAATCATTATCTAATAAAATTTTAACAACTTGTTCGAAGTTCTTTTGATGGAAATCTGGGTGCAAAATTAAAAAAAACTTGTCATTCCTATAACAGTTTCTTTTTTTTTGGGATATCAGGTGTTGAGACTGATGATTAGATATCTTTCAGAGAAAGATGATTTGTGATATATGTCAAACTTGATGATATTGTTTTCAATAATAATAGTGGTATTTAGAAAATTGATTTTATTGCCTATCTTACATGTGAATTGTATTCTAGGATGGTAAGAATTAAATTTTTGTAATACAAGGAACACAAAAAAATTAAAAGATCACCTAGTCTGTCCTAAAAAATAAGTAAATATTCAAAAAGATAACTTCGTAAAAAATGATCATAATGAGATTTTTAAGGAAGCATTTTAAAGCTTGAAATTTCTACTTTAAAGATTGGTAATTGATATTTCGATTTAACTGATTTTTTATATAGCTATACGAACAGAAATGGGTATCCGTCAAATTTGAAAATTTTCGAAATTCAATCTTTGGAAAGACGCAATGAATTGGAGAAGTATCAAAATTAATTAGAAGTAATTATCTTGATTTATACATATATTTTATCATTTTATTTATTTATCTTTTTGTCAGAAGAAAAATTTAGAGATGTAGAGGAAAGCCCCCTATTATGAGATAGGCGCCTAATATGAGATAGCACTTCTGCTAAATAAACGCTATTTATTGGTTCCATGAATTTATTGCTCTTGGATTGAAAACTATTTAGTAGAAAATTTATTATTAGATCATGACTGTAATCATTGTAAAGAAAGATTTTAGAATTTGGATGTTTTCAAATTTCATTGAGATGAATCTTTAAATTTTGTTTATTATTTAATAAATAAATATTTGAAAATAAATCCTTTATGTAGTGATAGAGTAAGGTCATACTAATAGAAAAATACGAGATATATAATATATTAAATTGTTTAATTACAGAAGTTAGCTTTGCTGATCATAAAACCATAAGGCGTGAAAATCGTAATATGAGATTGCCAGAGTATTTCTAATATAAAATAATCCATGCTCCTATGTTATAGTGAAAATCATTATTAAAGAATAAATGTTATTGTACAACAATAAAAAGGACAACCAGAATGAACGTCGAGTGCCTATTTCTGCGATGCTTGATTCCAATTACCTGAAGACGAGTTCTGGGTATAATCTATCGCATGCTCATTTTTCACGCACGCTGGCTGTGTTTGTTTGCATTTTAGAAATATGAAATAAAGTTTTTTAATTGCAATATTGATATTCTTTGCGATTTACTATCGATTTCTCGGGGCATCTCATATTAGGAGCACAATTTTTTGACTTTGTGTTTTGCTCACTTTTTCAATTTCTTTAATTAAAAAAAAATTGGAATTTGAATTAAATTTTATATAACATTATCCTAAAGCTTATTAAATTCTCTTCAAAATAACTTATTATTTTTTTGAATTCTGCCCATAAACTTTTAGCATTTATCCAAAATGAACTCGGTATCTCATATATATAATAGGGCCTTTCCTCTATATATACAATTATAACTTATAGATAGATTCACATACCATTATGATACAAAAATTATAATGTTAAATATATTTAAGCGGAGTAGTTGTGTATGGTGAATTAAAAGTTTGTTGATATAAATACAAAAGGAATTTATTGTGCATGCGTGCGTGTGCATGCTTATTCTACAGATAATAAGTTTCGTATAAAAAAAAATTTTTTTGTAATCGACCTCTCTTTCCTTTTGAGTTGAGTTTGATATATGGAGGAAACTTTATTTTATTTTAATGCAACATATGAGGAAATCATTTGACCATCGAAGGTCAGGCATTCGATTTCGATCGATTGCCCTTGTATGATAACTATCAGCAATAGTACTTCCCACCTTAATTCTAGGTAGGCTCTGGTATTTTTATCAATACACTGGAATCCCGAGAGACAGCCAGTGCATTCTTCTGCATTCTTAACAGTAGTAAAGCAAGGTGGGTTCTAACCCATGGGGCTAGAGGGGAGCGCGGGGCGCGGAGGGTACTCATTGGCGCGGGGGATACTTGTAACGCGGGGAAGGAGAGGAAAAGGTCCCGCGGCGCTATGTTACGAAAACATAGGATCCTTATTTTTCACCCACCGCTCTCTCTCCAAAAATGTATCAGTAGTAAAAGCTTGCATACACTTACCGCATACTACCAACTGTTTTTTTCTTATGTTTCATCTTTTCCGTCGCCGCCGCATTGTCACTCTCGTTATATCTTCTTGCACGCAAACATATTTTATTATACGTTTTTATTTAAAAAGAGGACGGTTAATACGGTCGTGACAGTACCGTCGAATGCGAAGATGCTCACGTAATTTAGCAGCGCAGAAATAAAAAGGAAACAAATAGATGCGAAATCTGAGTAATACAATTTACATATATTTTTCACACTACATAAAAATTTTATTATAATAAAAAAATTTTAATTAAAAAATGAAAATTAAAATTAAAAAAATTTTAAATATATGGTGAGATACGCCATCGTTTCTGTAAAACAAAAGCGTTACATTAGCTTGCAACATATAAGAAGAGAAATTTAAATATATAATATAAATTTATGATACTTACAATTCCAATCTTCCGGCTCCGGATCAGACTCGTACGGTCGGAGGCCGAACAGTTCTAGGAAGAAGTCACTTTCCTCTATATCAATTTGTTCCTCCTGGTTCCGCTGTCTCTCACCTCGTATCATTTGCCACGTAACTATATTTATAAATCCTCTGATTTGGATGTAAAAACGAGGTACATCCTGAAAAATGGACAAAATGAATTTAAAAGAAAAAAGAAAAAAAAATAGAAAATAAATCTATTTGTTATGCTTACTGAGGGGATAATTTGCACCCCTACCTTTCGCAACTGCAGTCGGACTTGCGACTCGTTATCGACCATAAGGTACTGAAAAAAAAAAAGTAAAAAGACGTTAGAAGACAAAATCACTAAAATGTTTGATACAAAAAAACGACTTACTCCTTCAACGGGATACTCGTACCGGATTCGAATAAAATCCTGTAAATTACTCATTGTTATGAAAAATATTCTGAAAAAAATCGACAAAATTTTTTTTAAAAAATCGCAATATTATCACAATCACTTAATAAACGTGTAAAAGTATTCTACTATTTAGCGTTAATGGTAAAATACTTTTGCACTTTGGGGAAAAAATCACTCACGTTATATATTAAACTCTTCTGTTAGACTCGCACGCGAATTCAGCAAAGACTGACGCTGAGAAGCATCCTTTGCCATAGCGAAGCTATCTAGGAAATATTTGCGCTGCATATGAAACACTTTAAATCATCATTACAGAAAGGATGGAGGAATCAATAGAGTACAAGTTTTTTTTTTACGACACAATTTTTTCAATAGTTTTTCCTGGCGAGACAAAGGATGGGAAGTAAAAGACAATACATATATAATAATGCGAACAAAAATTTTTTATTCACATCTTATTATACTGGTTTTCGTACTTATTAAAAACTAAAGCTAATAGTTCGCAATCGATGAGCTGATGTCCATTGAAGATGTCATTATCACGTATGATGTTCTCAGATGCGATGTTGGAGAATCGCGTATACTTGGTATCTATCGTATCGACGAGTCGAACTAATTGTTCGAACGTTACATCGATACACCCTTAAAAGTCAAACATACGGCGTAGCGTCGTTTCAGTCATCGTAATGCGTACGGATGAAGAATCGAGACGTAGCATCGTTCAGCATGCACACACTGACGGTTACCAGTCCAACATTTATAAAATTATCTTTGTATTCGTTTCGAAACATCATGTAAATATTCCCTCGCTACTCGTAGAGGTTCTTCCACGTTTCGAGAGACAGCGATAGTTCGTGTCCGCGATAATCTCCAAGGGCGACCTCCACGTAACTCTGTGGGCCAACGTTGATTTTAATTTCCAAAAATTTGTAGCCCGTATTCGTCAGATCGTAACGTCTGCTCAGTAAACGCACCGCCCGATGCTCCGTATTGTGTACATACATAATGTTAAAAAACGTTACTTTTGTGTATAGAACGTTGAAACTTACATGTTATATTCCTTCTTGACATCGTACGATGCACTACTCTCTTTAGTGATATACATTTTTTCAGCCGTTCGTACAAGCGGGTATCGCAAGATGATTGCATCCGCGTAACTTGTGACGTAATACTTCTGGAATCGATGAGAGAAGGCAGGTTCTTCCCCTCTTTCCAAGAATTTTGAACATGTTGCGACATGTTTTATCAAGTCTTTCTACGGATTTTCTTTGTCACGAATTTATACATACGTTTACACGTACATACGTTTATATATACATACGTTTATATATATGTTTATACATACATACGTTCATTCATACGTTTATACATACGTACATACGTTTATACATATATACGTTTATACATACGTTTATATATACGTTTATACATACGTACATATGTTTATACATACATACGTTTATACATACGTTTATACATACATTTATATATACATACATACGTTTATATGTACATACGTTTATACATACATACGTTCATACACACGCTTATACGTTTTACACATACGTTCATATAAACGTTTATACATAACAAAGGAAGGGAAAAGAAATACATAATAAATACGTTAACGTATTTTTATTTAAAAAATTCTTTTGCAACCACCAGTTATATATTTTCAATACATTTTGTAACGCGCAATTCTTAACATGTTGTTCACACCGTATAATATTAGTAACATCTAAATTAGATAAAGATTCCATGTCTTCGTAAACTGCATCCAAGGTCTCAATGTACATGCGTTCTCGCTCATCGTCCAGAAGCAAGTTCTACAGCCACGTTCGTTTCTCGCGTCCCTTGACATACACAACAGCATCATCTTCAAATACAGCCATCGTAATTAGACGTTCCGCCTCGTTATACGGGATCGTTTCTCATTGCAATCTATGATGATAAGCAATCAACCAGGAGGCGCAAGACCTGTTGGATGTTGTCAAAAATTTCCATGACACGGGACTAGTAAAAATGTAATGCGTGAGAACGGTCCCCTGTTTCAGCACCGCCACTTCCTTCACGATAAATTTCTTGTTAACGATGAATCCTTGCAGATCCATGAACGTTGACATGGACATGTTGTCGAGAAAACTGCGACGTCGATTGCGACGTAACGTAGATTTTATATCGTATTAGAGGTGCATTTAGGTGATTTTGCGTACTATGTTGGTCAATGGATTATACTGAGCTACACGATCGTGTATGATGAGACAATAAGCTGTTGTATTTAATATAATTTGCGGGCACATTTTCCTTGCAGTCAAATTCTATGCGTACGTCCACAGTGGCACTCTTGACGGATTCGTTTTATCGCGAGCAATCAATGACCACAAAAGGCCCTTTCTCAACAAATGAGAGCACGTTGAGTAGCGTTTCGAAGCAATCGATTCCATAATATGCTCTACGAAAACGTGCGTACATATCGAATAGAACGGCGTATCTCTTTTTGCCAAAATCCAGATTTAAATCGTCGTACGGATAAAACATCGAATTTAGATAAAGTTTCACGTTACTCAAATTACAATCGTCGAACACGCTAATATCTCATGACATGATATTCTTTCGACCGGTCTGCAGAGCAAAGATAATCGAGGCTTCTCAAGCTGAGTCGCCGTTTTGATAGCCCATGAATGCTTAGTCGTATTTTGTAACAGAGAATACTCGTACAGATTCCACGAGCGAAAACTCATGCTCAGATAATGATCGCTTTCCAATGCTCGCAGGATTGATAATTTATTGACCTCATTTAACGCAACGTGAGGCATCCGCCACTGTACTTTAAATAATTCAACCTCAGACTCCGTCACAGGATTTCCCACTTGTCTCCGCAATTGTTGTCGTTGCGCGCTTGTATCAAAATTAATTCGTGGCGAGCGTGGACAATCAGGCGTTTGTAATCTTCGCAAAAACCCAACAGTATGCTGAGCGGCACGCAAAAATTAAAGTGTCCTTCCTCCATGTCGGATCTAGAGTTCCATCCAGCGTTCAGCGCAATTGAAGCTTTATCGTACGTCATTGACACGTAATTCTTGAGCGTGCTAGTTATACATTTCGGTTGCGATCAATCTCCATTGAGTTCATATTGAATTTCATCAAACATGAACGCCACGCAATTATTTACAATCGTTATTGGCATCTGATCGTTTTTCTTTTTCACCGTCAATCTTCCTTCGATGACGATCAAATTTTGTGTAAAGATGCTACTAAGAGTAATTCAAATTCTTCATCTGATAATGTTGGAAATTCGGAACGTACAATTTTTAATTTGTCTCTGCTTAAAAACGACGTCAATTTATCGAGGCTT